TATCGCAATCGGCGCAGTGGCCGACTGCCGCAGCGCGTCGCTCCCGTTGGCCTCCAGATTGGCGGGGTGGAGAGAGCGTGCAGAGTTTGGGTTGGACGAGGCGATAGCGAGGTCCGTGTCAAGCTTCAACGCGGTGGACGGGGCGCGGACGTGGTATCTGGGCAGCGGCAGCGAGGGATCCGTGAATCCCCTTCCAATCGACAGGTCCGAGTTGGTCAGGGTCGACGTCGCATTTAGGTTCGCGGGGGGCTGGAGGGCAGTAGTGTTTAGCGTGGCATGCGTCTTTTCCGGCGCGTCGTTGTGCGCGGCCGCCCTTTCGGCTCGAGGGTTGGAGGACGCGAGACCCGTAGAGGATGACTCTGGGCCCTCCATGGTGTTGTATCACTGCTTGGGCGGGACACGATCGTGTGGCTATCCAGTAGTCGTCGGTCTGCTGTCTGCGGGTGATGCTAAACATGGACGTGCGCCTTTCCGGTATCATTAGCGCATGCCTGGACACAAGCCACAACCAGCCTTGCGACTAAAACAAGCAAGCGTGCAATTAGGATGTGACCCGTCGCCCGACCTGATAACGTTTACAAGCAATAGTTCGCCGTCATGGCTAGCTGAGCATCACCGCCGTGTCCTTGTTGAGAAGGCCCATCCTCTTTCGACTGTCATCCGCAACCACGACCAGTCATGGGAAGGCAGTATCGACGTTTGGCCTATGAGCATGGCCCGTGGAAGCACACGCTATCGCTAGGTCTAGACGCATGCGCTTGCTTTCCCTACCTCCGGTACCGTAAAACAAGAACCGACAGTCTAGGTACTGCATCCATCAACACCGGATACGGCTCTGAGGTCCTTGGGGCACGTGCGACTATACGGCTGAATCAACATACGCAAAAGTCTCTGTGAAACATCATCCAGCAGCATACAGCCGAGCCTGTGTGTAGATGTCATTTGTGACGTGTTTCTTCGCCCCATCCGCGGATGTCGGCAGAGCTACGAGAGCTGGTGCCTGGCACTAGACAGAGTATTGTAAAGCAAACGTCAAATGAAGGCATCTCGTGATGTCGTACAAAACTTCCAATCCGCCCCAACTAGATATCCTCCGGGTTATTATCATACAAGATGCTTCCATGTGAAACTGCTCAAGCAGAATGTCGTGTGTTCGTAATGCTGTCTCCCTGCAAGCACAGCAGGCCATTCGAGTTCCTCGTAATCATTTCCCTTCCAAGGTGAGTCTGGAATGCATTTTCATCTATTGGCTGACTTCACTTGGCCTGTCCCTGATTACCCTGGTTGTTGAAAGTGAAGTGCTGGTTGGGAGGGGTGAGAGCATGAGGGGAATAGGCGTAAGAAGAGTAGCTGCCATCGTAGCCGTTGTTGTATTGACCTCCCATGTTGTGGTAGGGGTTTGTAGGGTAAGATGTACGATCTTCCTTGGTGTTGCGGTTAGAATAGGCAGGACGCGTAGTCCACTGGTTATTGGCCTGATAACCAAAACGAGGGTCGTTGTGATTGTCTTGAGGAGATACCATGTTATGCGGCAACACCGAATGTCCATCGCGGATAACTTCAGAATTGCCACCATAGTAGCTCTGGACGGAATGCTGAGAGCGTGGATTATGTGAAGGGAATGGGTCCTGAGAGATGCTCGCAGCGTTGCCCTGACCAGTGGCAGTGTACTGTTGAAGAGCCTTGGCCTCTGTCGCCTTTTGCTCTACCGACTTCTGCAAAGCCTGAATGATCTGCTTCATCTCCCTCATGTCCGCCTCCATGCTTGTCATCTTTTTGTCTTGTTCTGCAAAGGCCTTCGGTATGGTCTCCTTGACACAGTCGGATATGCTGTTAATACTAGCATGGATGTTCTGCTGGTTGTCTACTATACAATCGTCGATGCGTTTGGCACTGTCCTTGACGGCTACCAGTTGGGATGATATCTGCTCAAAGCGCGTACTGACCAGCGCCAACATCTCCTCCTGTCTTGCATTCGACGTGCTCTTCTGCTTCTCGTTGAATGTCTCGAGAAGATCCCAAGTGGTCTTGCCCACCACGTCAAGGTGCTCATTAGTCATGAAGAAGTGGTCATCGATGGTCTTGGGCGGAAACAGCGGAGGGAAAGCATTGCATGATCCGCCAGAAGGTATCATCAACTGCGCTGAGATTTGGGGACCAGGAACCTTGTGGAGCGGACTGGGAACGGCGCTGGGGCAGTAAGGCTGGAACTCGCCGTGGGACTCGCTCCGACCTGGACTGACAGTACTGAGCATATCGGTAAGCCTCGAGGAAGACTGATCAGGCTGAATCTGGCTAGAGTCGCCATTCTTCTGAGCTAAGTTCCCGTTCTTCTCTCCAGTGCGCAGCTCTTGCATGACGCGAGTGGTAATGCCAACGTCAGACCGCCTATCACCCGTCTGGCCGTGCTGCTCGTTCTCGTCTATCTCGTGCGCAGTTGGGGAGTGCGGATCAATATCCTGGCGATCTCCTTGAAAAATCATCTTGATTGAGCCGTCGTTTGATTCTTCGCGAAGATGGAGGACCGATAGCGATCTTCCGGGAAGTGAGTAGAGAAGACGGGCGGTATCGGACTGACAAAGTTGTTAGCAAGTGTTACTAGTACAATATCGGTAAAAGCAGAGTGACGGAGGTGAATGCGAGCAAACGCGTGAGTGGAACATAACAAAGAGCTAGGTGAGCGCCACTCTGTTGTCAAAAGTGAGAGGGAAAGAGCGGGATGCGACATACATTCTTTGAAGGAGTTTCACCTTCAGCGAAGCCACGAGCAGAGATGTGAGTTGGGGAGTAAAAGCGTGGATGTAGAGGGCTGTATGCATCTACGTTGTTATTGCTGTCGTCGTCTAGCGTTGCAGTCGTACGCTCTTCACTCCTGCGGTCCGGATAAGGAAGCTGCAACACAAGATTCGCGCTTGTCAACGGAGTTAAGTATTTGACACCTATCTTACTAGGCGAACCATTACAGTGAGGGTAGGGCCATTGCATGGCTTCACCTCCTATAAGCTTAGAGTACTCCTCTGCGGTATACGGTAGGAACTTTGTAGGGCTCGTGCCACCATCTTCCGGTAGAATACCAGTTGTAGGAGACGGTGACAGGTCAAAATCTGGAAATCGCACAACTCCAATTCCATCGGTGAAGGTAGAGTAGCTCTCACGAAGATCGCGCAATGGCACAGCCCTGCGAAGTGGGCTGGCGGGCCTCTGACCTGCTGGAGGAGTGTCCTTTGCGGGTGGAGGAGGTGGATTAAGTGATTCAAGTGAGTCATTGACTTCAGGTGCTCGAGGAGCATTTTCTATGTCAGAAGACTGCTTCTTCGGACCCCCCTTGCCAGACGAGCCACGACCACTCGAGCGATTACGGCGCGACGATCCATTGTGATGGCGATGGGCATAGCTATCCGGATCAGCTATCTTTGGGGGCAGCGAATTTGCCGTGTCTGAGCGCGAAGCCCTCGTTGGCGTTGTCTCTTTGAGGCGCGCTGGCTTGATGGGCCGAACTGGGATGACGCGAGCCTGTCGTGCTGCTGTTCCAAGAATCTGCGCAGCTTTATTTGGCATCGCTGGTGGCGGTGCAGCACTGGAAGATTTGGAGAAAGTGTTGCGGAGGTTCTGGAATAGCTTTTTCCTGGGACTCTTGGGTGGCTCGTCACGGTCTGGCTGCTGCTCCCCATTTGCAATTCGGCACTGTTGTCGCAGGTCTTGCGTCCTGATATAGACGTCATCCTCGTCTACAGAATCTGCAATATTCAGTACCAGAAAATGAACATGATGATGTGTACTTACCAGCTGTCGGTGTAGGCGGAATTTGGCCTGTCAACTTGAACAAACTCTTCTCAGCGCGAGATTCCATCTTTCCCCTAGCTGTTTCTTCGTCGAGAGCTTCAAGCCGGGCCTGCGCAGCCGCAGCGTCGTACTGGCTGCGCCCGGACTGCCTCGAGCGTGCCGCAGAACCAACATTGCTACCTGCCCAGGATCCATGTTCCGACTTGCGGGGAGACGAGACACGTGCCTGATCAATCAAGCTGGTGAACGTGGCCATGGCGTTGCGGCTCCGGCTTGAACCCGAAGCTGGATGATGCGACTCTACAGGCGAAAGTAGTGGGGTGGTACCGGTCGAGCGCTGGCTTTTGGTTGAATTGGACGCGTTCCTGGTATGTTGCTGCCTCTGCTGGTTGCTAGGCGCGGCGTCTGGAGGAGGCCGAGGAGGCGGCAACGAGCTTGGGATGGTAATTGGCGGCGGGCGGTTCCTATCGTCGACGTTTCGGTGTGACATAGTTTCGATACGTCGTCCAAGTGTGTGATGTGCTCCAAATCGTCAGAAGTTGAGCGGGTGAAAGGGCTTAGAGGTGACCAACCTGGTTGGTAGTAGCTCAACAGTGTGAAATGCTCGAATCGCCTATCTCGACACAGAAGTGTTAGCATTCGAAAACTGCAACTTGCAAGAGTCACGCAAAGTGAGCCTCAGATCCAGAAAACAGAGGAGGTCTCGGCGTTGGGAAGCTGTTAAGGAAGAGAGTCGTCTACGTCCATAAATCTCATTGTGCAGCAAGGGACGGTCGTGATAGCCATAGGCAACGACAACAGTAATGACAACAAACGCGCTTCTTGTTCACCACATCTTGGAAGAGGGGTAATCCATGTGGGGAAGCAGATTTGCAAGCAGCGTACAGAAAATAGAGCAAGACACAGTATCCGCTGTAGTTAGTGTCGATACCGAACGCACAATGCCCCGTTCTAGCTTCCGCACCGTTCGCTATCTCTCGTCAACAACCACGACGTGTCTGCCTGCTGTGTGCTGAACGTTATGTTGCAATTGGCCGAGGCCGAGAGAAAAGACGTATAGTAGAAATGAACAAGTTGATAGTTGATGAAAGAGAACGCTACCCACAATGGCGCCGGAGTTCGAGAGGTATCCAAAAGATTCACGCCTAATCAAAGAATATCTGCAAACCAATGCTCCCAGCATGCGATCGTACGAACGCAACAGCCGGTCAAGCACCTCAGAGGACAATACATTTTTTGCCCTTCTTCCTCTCGCCGCCCTCTTTCTTCGCTGCTGGTGGTTCAAGTGCTGCCACGATAGCCTGTGAAGATGTTAGCATCTACGTGAGTCCATGTCGAACAAATCTGCGCACCTCATCAAATACATCCTTGAGCTTATATTGAGTCAAGGCCGAACACTCGACGTACTTGACCGCGCCCAGCTCTCGCGCCATCTTTTCACCATCCTCCTTTTTCACGGGTGCCATCCTCTGTTTTGAGAGCTTGTCTTTTACTGCAGCGTCCTCCCTAAGATCTACTTGTGTGCCGACAATAAGGCAGGGCACGCCCGGGCAGTGGTGATGTACTTCGGGAAACCATTTCTCGCGGACGTTCTCAAAGGAAGCGGGCGAAGTTACGGAGAAGCAGACGAGAAAGACGTCGGTTTGGGGGTATGACAGAGGTCGCAGGCGGTCGTAATCTTCCTGTCCGGCAGTATCGAAAAGACCGAGGGTGTATGGCTCATCACCGATCCTTGGAAGCAGTCAGCAGCTGCTCCACCAATCACTATTCCGACCTTGTATCCACCGAGGATACACCACTACTCCAAATCTAGGGAGAGCAAAGGGAAGCTCACATGACGGTCACGGCGTAGTTGTCGAAGACAGTAGGAACGTATTCCGAGGGAAACTTGTTGGTGGTATAACTGATAAGAAGACATGTCTTTCCGACCGCACCGTCGCCGACGACGACGCACCTGTAGGGCAGTAAGTATTCGTGTACAGAGAATTGCGGTCGCAAGACAGGCGTATCGCATACTTGATTGTCGCAACGACCATGGTGAAGGTAGACTGGGACTTGTTTCGCGGATATGGATGTTTGTTTGGAGAGACAGATCCGAGGCCAGAATTCAAGTAGATGGAGCGAAGATGAGGCGGAGATGAAGCTACGCAGACCCAGGGTCGTTGGTAGTGCGGAGATGGGAGCTATGGGCTCAAACGAGGGGCTCCAATGAGCGGGGACAGTCTGGCAGACGGATCAGTCTCGGGATTTTTGGCTCTGGCAAAATTGATAGACTCGGGCAGGCATACCTATGAGTCCTCGTGCAGAAGGCGGCGGCGTGTGCTACGTGGTTTGGAGCGTGAAACACCACCCGTTAGACTTGAGTCCAGGTTCTAAGCGGCCGGTGGGCGAACAATGCGCGAGCGATTGAGGCAGTGCTAGCGACGAGGCACGCAACTGGACAAAGACAGCACAGGCGCAGCAGCGGCCAGCGAAGATGCGAGTATCACAGGAGGGCGTGGAGAGGTTTGAGAGGGCCTGAGTGAGGTTGCGATCTAGCTACGGTAGCGGAGGCCCTTGAGCTGCGAGGACGCCAATCAATCAAAGCGGCCTAGGGCTGTTATCACAACCTTGCCCAGCTGCATCGGCTCCCGCCCGTAGCTCGGAAACGGCTCATTATGTAGGGTCTGCACAATTTGAAGCCTTATTTTACTGCGCGGTCGCTGGCCAGACCGCGATGGAGGCCGCATATTAATCCAACGCGTGGCAGACCCATTGCTGCAGTGCCGACGACACCCCACCACCTGCACGCTGACATTGGCTTGATAGACGCAACAGCCAAGGCACGACGCTGAAGATACACTTTCTCTGGGTTCCAACGCTTTGTACATGGCCCCGAACAATCCCTGACAAGCTCAGTGAGCCCCAGATTCAGGGAGGAACGTGCACATGAACAACGTGGCTGATCGTCCTCTAACAGTATCACCGGCTAGTGTTTGCGCAAGAAGCCGGCTTCCGTCATTCACAGGAGCAGACAGTGCTGCTATTTAGCATGATCTGCACCGCTCCCTCAGCTGTCTTCAGCCAAAGCTTGTACATTGAGCCATAAGCGCGCAGAGCCATATGTACTCGCCCAGGAGAGAGCTCATTTACTGGATATGCGAGGCATGTGCAGCTTGACCCATTGCCGATTGAATCGAATTTTAGAATGCTGCAGGGCAGCCTTAGCACTGTTAGCAGAAGACATGTGCCCAATCACAGCCTAGTCCCGGCGCGGAACAACTCCCATCCCAGAAGCTTGGACGCGTCCTCTCCATGTGGCTCCATCCGTCTCGTCTCACGACTGGATCACGCACGAGAGCGGCACCACGCATCACTCAACAGTCGTGCCCCAATCTATGACAAAGTTGCCATGGATGACCTCGAAGATGAATTGGATCTTCGATTTCACAAGGGCCTAAATCCCGATGTCTACTATCGCTGTCCTACATCTGAAGTAATATGATCTTCACAACCCGTATAAGCGTAGCTAAGTCGTTATGTAATAGTCACTTGAGGGAGCTCTGCGCAATGAACTGGATAAGAATGCAGCCAGCTTCATCCCCACAGACGTTGTCACAGAGTTCATCTTTGCAACAGCCTCTACCATCACCATCCCCGTGACGCAGCAACTCAATCTTGATGCGCTTATACAACCAGCCGATCACCCTCAAAGCATCGCCGCTGAATATGCGCTATGTCGAGATATTGACGGTAAAGACAGGCCCAAGGTACAACGAGCAATTGCAAGGTACCTGAACCTACCCTGTCTGCACAACTACTACTTATGCAACCTAGATCTATTATCAAAGCTATTCAGGACACTGATGGCTTCAAGTACTCCGAGCGCTCTGCACAGAACAGAGAAGGCGGTGACGGTGCCAGATTCAAATATGTTTGCCAAGACAGCTTCCAGAATAGGGACCGTAAAAGCAACACGAAGAGAGGGAAGTCCTTTGATAGCGATGATAGGGAGCCTGAGGTTAAGAAGCAGGGACCTGTTGTGTTGCCGACCTACGACTGTGGAGGCGCAATACACATCAAGTTTTCCCTCAAAAGAGACGCTGTCAATGTGGTGTATAAGCATAATCCTATACACACTACGCGCGAGGCTGACAATGGGTACGTTTTGCCACTAGCCACAACTGAAAATGGCTATGTGCCATAGCACTTCGTCCCAAAGTTATAACTGATTTTTTCGATAGTCTACCTGCTCTGATAGTCACTGATAACGGCGTCGCCGCCACAGCCGACGCTACGTAGAAAAAGCAACCACGCAAAAGTAAACGTAGTAAAAAGGATGAGACCGAGGCACAGAGCGAATTCAGAGGCCCGGACCTTGACATGTCAACATCTCCAGAAGGTCCAAATCCATCTGCAAAGAGAAAGAGCAAGAAAGCTAGTGCTGTGGCCTCTTCCACAACATCGCGAAAAACATCTACCAAGAAGACTAAGGCTAGGTTACCGGCTTCACCCACCGGATCGAGGAAAAAAGCGCCTGTCTTCGAAGAATCTCCACCGCCGACACATATCCGTGGTAAAGCCTGCATCCGCTGTCGCGAGAAGAAGATCAAATGTAACGAGTCCAAACCCACATGCAACCAGTGCCGAAGGGGTCTATGAACGTGTCGATACGAAGTGATAATCAGCAAGAAACGCTCGAAGAATGGGTGTCTCAATTGCAAGCAAAGGAGACGGAAGTGCACAGAAATGAGGCCATCGTGTGCGCACTGCTTACGGCTAGACGATGACTGCGAATATGCCGACTAATACTGATGTTCCTTGGGTCTGTTGAACATTCCACATCATGCAGTAGCCCATTTCAGTCTCGTCCAGACATTGACTTGGTGTGAAATGCAGTGTCTCGTGACGATAAGCAGGTGCTACAGCAGGTGAAAGTCTTGACATAATGCCAGCAGTGTGGTCAGGATAATGTCCGAGACATGCATGGGAGTAGAGTTCCTCTAACAAGAGAGATGGACCATACATCATATCGGCAGAGGTTGCAGGAGGGAGTCGGGAAGTCCGTAAAACGATGCCCAAATATCTTTTAGGAGGACGGTTACGTAGACGGCCGTCACAAGCGACAACGTTTGTAAACAGGAAATGTTTACCCTGTCAAAGTAAGTGTATGCTAAGATACTGGGCGCAATGCAGCGTCCCGTGCAGCCAAGGTCTGTCAGCGAATAGCAAAGGTCGTCATTTGATCACACTAGTCGAATTCATAACCATCACACGACTGAGCCGCATGTTCTCCACATCGTTCATTGCGCACATTTAGCAGTTCAGTAATTGTATTTCCGGGCCACGTCCATTCCAACTCCACTCGTGATGCAGCGTCCCGAGGTTTAATTCGCCGCGAGCCCTAGTAACCGGCTGTTAACCCTGGGTTAACGGCCCGCCTCCATATATCCCTTCCCACCGCCTCATCAAATTCAGCGATCACCACTCTACATCACACGTCATACGGCTTATGGTTTTCTTGGGTTATGGGTTCAACATGGTGCATGCTCCGATTCTGCCAAGGGTCAATCTTGGTAAAAACAACTGCCTCGGGCTTGTGCGTTGCACAGCATGGATAGTCCGCTGGTACTTAATAGGAGAGATGCCCAGGTGGTGGCTTTCATTCGCTCCCCAGTACAAGTCTTGGAAGTTGAGGCGTCTTGTGTTTGACGATGCGATCTTGTCTCTTCCCGTTGTTGGCTACGGCCGTGTTATCGCAGGCTTCAGGTGCAACCAACTCACACGCAACAACAAAATATTCGCTAACCAATGCAGTCATTCCATCTGATCAGTCTGTCTCAAAACGTGCAGTTGGAAACTGGGACGATGCCTACACAAAAGCAACAGCTGCGCTCGCCAAGCTATCGCAGAGTGAGAAGATCGGAATCGTCACGGGTGTTGGCTGGCAGAAAGGTCCTTGCGTTGGCAACACCAAGGCGGCTGGCTCGATTGGATATCCGTCACTTTGTCTGCAAGGTGAGTAGTGGTGATTCATTACTTCCGAGCCGACCACGCTTCGCGAACGCCAAAGGTGGAGGATGTTGTCCGACGCAATCAGGACATGCTGTGGCCTTGATGAGCATGTTGTGATCAACGACTTCGATGCTTGGAGCCTGGAGCCTGAAGCCTGGGACACACCGAACAGAATCACCAAACGCTGTCCAACGCATGGTTGTATCAAGATGAACTTCTTACTAACAGCCTCTAGATGGACCCCTTGGTGTTCGTTACGTCCAAGGTGCGACTGCCTTCAGTGCGGCTATCCATGCCGCTAGCACCTGGGACATTGACCTTATCCGTGAAAGAGGTGCCTTCCTGGGTGCGGAAGCAAAGCAGCTAGGTGTTCACGTCCAGCTTGGGCCTTCCGCCGGTCCTCTCGGCAAGCATGCAAAAGGTGGTCGGAACTGGGAAGGATTTGGCTCAGATCCTTATCTCCAAGGCATCATGATGGCGGAAACCATCGAGGGTATGCAAGGGGCAGGCGTCCAAGCTACGGCGAAGCATTGGCTTGTAAATGAACAGGAATTGAACCGAGAGACTATGAGCTCAGATGTGCCGGATAGGGTACTTCGCGAACTTTACGTGTGGCCCTTCATGGATGCTGTGCACAGCGATGTCGCAGCATTCATGTGCAGGTGAGAGATCATCAAGCGAAGAAGTGTACGACTTCGGGATTTACTAACCTGCTGCAGTTATAACAAGATCAACGGAACATGGGCTTGCGAAAGCGACGGTGTGATGAACAGGCTCCTTAAAGACGAGCTCGGTCATCGTGGATACATCATGAGCGATTGGAATGGTAAGCATTTGGTCTGCTTATACTTCTGGTACAATACCTGACGTCAACTTAGCGCAACACACTACCACTGGGAGTGCGAACGGTGGCATGGACATGACCATGCCCGGCACCGACTTCAGCAACGGCAACATCTTTTGGGGCCCGCAACTTCAGACCGCCATAAACAACAAACAAGTGCAGCAATCTCGCCTTGATGACATGGTCAAGCGCGTGTTAGCCGCCTGGTATCTCGTTGGTCAAGACAAGGGCTATCCAAGCACCTCATTTAGCTCCTGGACGATCGGCAAACATGAAGTAGGCGGAAGCCACAAGACAAACGTCCGCGCTACAGCTCGCGATGGTATTGTCTTGCTAAAGAACACAAACGCCGCGTTGCCCTTCAAGAAGCCTAAAAGCATCGCTGTCATCGGAAGCGACAGCATCGTTGCGCCTAAAGGAGCCAATGCGTGCATTGATCGCGGATGTAACGATGGAACATTGGCCATGGGTTGGGGTTCCGGATCAGTTGAGTTTCCTTATCTTGTTGCTCCTCTTGATGCTATCAAGACACAAGCCCAGAAGGACGGAACTTCCATCACTTCTTCGCCCAACGACAACGCGCAGCAAGGTGCTAGCGCAGCACAAAACGCTGATATTGCGGTGGTCTGCATCAACAGCGATGCTGGCGAAGGTTACATAACCGTCGAAGGCAATGCTGGTGACAGGAAGAACCTGGACCCATGGCACAACGGAAACGAATTGGTCAAGGCAGTTGCTGCTGTCAACAAGAAGACCATTGTTGTAGTCCATAGCGTCGGTCCAGTCATTATGGAGCAGTGGATCGAGAACCCGAACGTAGTTGCTGTTGTTTGGGCAGGTCTCCCAGGTCAAGAATCCGGAAATGGCCTTGTCGACATCCTCTACGGTGCAGCTTCACCAAGCGGCAAGCTACCCTACACCATCGCAAAGAAGGAATCAGACTACGGTACCACGATTGCCAGCGGTGACGACAAGAACTGGGACCTCTTCATCGATTACCGCCGTTTCGACCAGCAGAAGATCGAGCCCAGATTCGAATTCGGCTACGGTCTCTCCTATACTAACTTTACTTACTCCGACCTCAGTGTCTCCGGCAAACCCTCTGCGGGTCCTGCAACCGGTGCCAAGGGTCCTGGAGGCCCTGTTGATCTCTTCGAAACCGTAGCTACCGTTACCGCCAAGATCAGTAACTCCGGTGGTGTTGCGGGTGCGGAGGTGCCACAGCTGTATCTAGGCTACCCTTCATCGACCAACTCACCACCGAAGCAATTGAGGGGTTTCGCGAAACTCAAGATTGAAGCCGGTGCCAGTGCGACGGCTACATTCAAGCTGAGGAGACGAGATATGAGCTTTTGGGATGAGAGCAGTAGGAAATGGAGTGTTGCTACTGGAGAGTATCAGATCTTCGTGGGATCGAGTTCTAGGGATGTGAGATTGACGGGCAAGATCACTGTTTAGTGGCCTAGTATAAGGGTTGCTGGACGGGTGCCGAGACGAAGCTCATAGGGCGTGCTTATGCGCCGATTCTGTTGATGTACGGGGACATGTTCGGCTAATTAGAGGAAGCTTCGGATCGTCATGATGCCGATGTCGGGAGAAAACAAAAATTGTGACTGTCACTCGTCATTTGCGTGCGGATACCCGGTAAAGCTCCTCGGAGAGGGTTAATTTGCGATCGACATAGATAAGGCGTGGAGTCTGATGGACACCATTTTTGCTACGTGCGCCGCGCAGTCTCCAAGTGTCATGACGCAAAACTGAAGGCGTCAAGCAGCTGCAGGGTATGCTATACAACATTGCCCAAAGGGACCTGATAGCGGGGCCGCACACCTATCATCCAGCTTCCCCGGACGTTTGTCATAAAACAAGGGTCAGAATTGAAGAAACTTTGCAAGTCCAATCGTTATCGTGACCGATATTTTATTGTAAAGGCCATCATTGGCGCGCGTGTGTGTCATTGCGCCTAGCGTCATCCGGTGCTGCAGAAAAGCCCCTCCCCGATTACTTTGTATCCTCACCTCACGCAAACTCAACACTCTCAAACTAGCATCTGCAAGCTTCGCCTCAGATAGGCACCCCTCCTGACCTCGACTGGCTCTACTACCGCGCTTATGAGTGCTGCCCCGACACTCTTTACTTCCCAGGTATGTCACGATTGCGATGCTTGATGAAGCCTTATCTGGACATGCATCGCACACCGTCAATTCACCGCCGGCCTCTTTCTGCCTCTTGGTGGCTTGACGATCGATGCATTCTCCTCTAGAATTTTTCATTCCTTTCTTCTTTTCTGACCATGGCTAATTGAGTGCTACAGGATTACATCTCAGGTATGCTGTTGCCCACAGACAAACGCGTCGTGAGCGTCAAACTGACTCTATCCGCAGACCACCTGTGGAAGGCATCAGTAAACTGAACGCCTGCCCAACAAGCTGCTATCAAACGAATCACTACATCACCCCACATCTCCGCTCATCATGTTGTCGCAAATGATTAAGCCTTCCACCATGCGGTCCGCAGGGTTCCTGGGACGAATGACAAAGAACCGTGTACAGGCACGCTCCCTTGCTACTGTTGAAGGAAACACTCAGCGTGCCATTCCTACTCCTAGCATGCGCAGGGCCACGGCTGTTTCCAACGAACCTGCTACTTTCACAATCAAAGTGCGTAGAGTCGTCCCGCACGTTTTGGCGCGTCACTGACAGCTGTTTAGAACGGACCCATCTTCGAAGGCAAGTCTTTCGGAGCCAAGACCAACATCTCCGGAGAAGCCGTCTTTACTACTTCTCTTGTCGGTTACCCCGAATCTATGACCGACCCATCCTACCGTGGCCAAATCCTCGTCTTCACACAACCATTGATTGGCAACTACGGTGTTCCTTCCAACGCCCGTGACGAGCATGGCTTGCTCCGATACTTCGAATCCCCGCACATCCAAGCTTCTGGCATTGTCGTTCAGGACTATGCCTTGAAGCACAGCCACTGGACAGCTGTCGAGTCACTCGCAGCATGGTGTGCTCGTGAGGGAGTTCCCGCCATCTCTGGCGTTGACACCCGTGAGGTCGTGACATACCTCCGTGAGCAAGGTTCCTCTCTTGCTCGTATCTCAATTGGTGAGGAGTACGATGCCGATGAGGACGAGGCATACATCGACCCTGAGGCTATTAACCTTGTGCGTCGTGTATCCACCAAGGCTCCCTTCCATGTCAGCTCTTCTTTGGGCGATATGCACGTAGCTTTGATCGACTGCGGTGTCAAGGAGAACATTCTCCGCAGTCTCGTCTCTCGCGGTGCCAGCGTCACCTGCTTCCCCTTCGACTACCCCATCCACAAGGTTGCCCACCACTTCGACGGTGTATTCATCTCCAACGGCCCCGGTGATCCAACTCATTGCACGACCACCGTCCACAACCTCCGCAAGCTGTTCGAGACTTCCCAGGTTCCCGTCATGGGTATCTGCATGGGTCACCAGCTCATCGCCCTTGCTGCTGGTGCGAAGACTATCAAGCTCAAGTACGGCAACCGTGCGCATAACATCCCGGCTCTTGACCTTACCACGGGCAAGTGCCATATCACCTCGCAGAACCACGGATACGCAGTTGACCCTACTACCCTGTCCAGCGAATGGAGGGAATACTTTACCAACCTCAACGACCAGTCCAACGAGGGTCTGATCCACAACTCCCGTCCCATCTTCAGCGCCCAGTTCCATCCCGAGGCTAAGGGTGGTCCTCTAGACTCTGCATACCTCTTCGATAAGTACATGGAGAACGTGCAGCAGTACAAGAGCCACCAAAACAGCTTCTCAGAGAAGAGCAACAAGCCCAGTCCTCTCCTCGTCGACTTGCTGAGCAAGGAGCGTGTTGGCTGCCACCCTGATGCACCAGACTTTGAGGGTCACGCGGCGGGTATGGCCAATGAGGAGATCACAGTCGGTGGACCCGTCGCGCCGTCCTACCAGCCCATTACTCAGAAGCCCGTTGCCTCTGCTGCTTAGATTGGTTGGGTTCAGTTGTGTGTATTGGGAACATCAGCGGAATGGATTTGGCGGCGTTACGGGACACGGATGATAAATTGTCAAAGGTGACTTTTGGTTAGGAAGGCGAGCTTTGGCAGCGCTTTGGACATTTCAGTAGTAATACAAACAGTGTTGAAACATGCTTCACTTGTGCTCATCCCAATCCAAGTATCTTCCAGTTGCGATGTAAGAAATAGTGGATTGTTGCATGTATGTTGTACCTTTATTTGGGTTAATAACATGGGGTATCATTCCATCTCCACTCAGCACTTGATCATGTCCATATCGCCCTCTCTCGTTCAAGCCTTTCCAAACCCAGGTTCCTCGTCCAGCTCTTCTTCCCCCTCCCCTTGCGCTTCAACAACCTCGCTGTCTTTGGTGGAGTCCCCAACCCTAACATCGCCGACCTTTTTCTCTCGTCTTTCCTGTTCCTTCTTCCTCGCACCAGCTTTGAGCTTCTCCCACTGCTCTCTGTATCGACTCAAGACCTGTGTGTTCCTCTCATTTTGCTTGGCCAGCTTCTCATTGTTGCTCATCAAGTCGTTGACTTTGGCGTTTTGTGAAGCAAGCATGGCTTCGAGATCTGCGATGCGTTTTGCGGCGTCAGCGTCGGGAGCTGAGGTCGGGGCTTGACCGGGAGAAGTGGGTTGTCGTTGTCCTTGTTGTGTCTGGCCTGGTATAGGAGGGGAAGGAAGAGCTGGAAGGTGGTTGATGCCTTGAGCAGCGAGGGCTTGAGCGAGTGCATTAGGGTCGCTGGAGCCTCGTCCGGGGCCTCGAGCACGGAACGACTGTGCGAGGGCGTTGAAAGAGTTTTGGGAGTTGAGTTCCCACATCTGGATGCGTTTGGCTTGTTTGTCGATGACGGTCTTGAGGGTGTCGTTCTCTAGAGCCAGCTCTTCCATGGTCTTGAGACCTGAGCCTCTGCCGGCTGGTATGGAGCGTTGGGGTGTTACGGCGGTGCTTGGGTTTTCGCGAGAAGGAGGACGGCGTGCTTTGGTGGGTGACGGCGGGGCTACGTTTTCTCGCGCATCGACAAACTCTTCATGTGAACTCCCTCGCAACGAGCCGGAGCCTTCGTCAATCGCGTTAAGCTGTGTGTTGGGTGACACATTCGTTGCATTCGGATCGCGAAGGACACTGGCGTATGTGACCCCGCCACTTGATGTTGGCACCAAGTAGAAGCTTTCGTTAGGTCCAGGCGCGCCATCCTCTCGCAGAGCGCGCAGTGCAGGCTTGCTTATCAGGGCAGCAAGGTCGGGAACTGAGGATTTGACGGTCCTGGAAGCTTCTGGAGAGTGTGGTCGTGACCTGGTCTTGGATGACGTCTCTTCCCTGGGCGTCTCAGACACTGGCGTCGGTGCAGATGGGTTGAGTGGAAGGGAGGTGAAAGCCAGTGGGGCGCTGATTGCGGATATGACGCCCCCAAAAGCCGAATAGAAGCGGCTGAAGTTGTCTTCGGCGGGCGGTGATGCAGGGCGTGGCGAGGCATCTTTCAGCTGCTTGGCCGCGTCTCTGCCAGCGCTCACTTCTGTCTTGCGCGACTGTTGCGCCAAGAGATCGCGTACCGGCGTAGACGGTTGCTCATTCCGACCAGCTGCAGCGCCTGGTACGTTGGGCGAGGCGCCACTGGCGGCTCTCTTTGCACTGGGTATGCCGCGCTTTTCGGCGAGATTGGTGGCTATCGAGGACTGGGGGAGTCTGCGGCGAGATGTTGGAGGAGTCGGAGAAGATGCCTTGGATGCGGATACTCGTGATGACGAGGCATTCGCTAACGGAGAGAGGGTGGAGGACTCGGAAGGGTGTTTGCTGGCATCTGCTGTCTTCTTCTCCTTGCGCGGCGCCTCTTTGATCAGGCCGGCGAGCTTGCGATGGTGGTCTTCGAGGAGACTGAGGATGCGACGGGCCTAGGACTACTTAGACGGGCAAGATAAGGCATCCCAGGCTACATACCTCAGCATCATGGGTATCTTGTTGGGCATTGTGGAAGGCGGTCGCGGCAAGGTCATGCTCCTGCCCCGCGGTCGCGACGCTGTTGGTGCTGGTCGCGGTCGCGGCAGTGCGGGCGTGATCATGAGCCTGGATAAGATGTGCCGACTCCATGGTGGTGGCAGCAGTGAGGTCTGAACATGTTCGACGAGTTTCTGTACGAGTGTGTGCAGAGGCAGCAGCAGGTGCGCGTGAAGGGTCTCGGTCACGTTGACAGGGATAGCAAGGCCGGCCACACCCCCCATGTAACTGCGGAGTAGATCACTAGGCTAAAGACCCGCAGCTGGAGACGTTGGAACCAGAACACGAGGAACGCGCCCGCCTGGTTTCATCTCTGCAGCCTGCGCCTACTTGCTTGTTCTCTCCCCTCTGCCATAACTCGCAAGCTTTTCCCCGTCCCCCGTCATCCTTCGTTTGTCATGTATCCGATTGCAGCCGCGACCCTGCGGTAGTTCCAAGCGCATCGCGAGCCCTGAACACATGCTCCCTACGTAATCGACCCCCCCAAACCTACGTAGCAAACACGGCACCACAAAGCGTCGCAACATCGATATGCGTGTCTGAGACTATAGCGAGACCCTCGACCTCTTCTCAGTGCTCTGCACACTCTCGTACCCTATATATTCCACAATGGCCTCTGAGCGGCGGAGGAGCATAGGCTCCATGTTCGGCTCCAAGGACAAGGACAACACGCTGGCGACACCACGGGCACAATCAAAGGGCCCGGACTCATCCACCGTCTCAATTGCGAGCAGTGACGGCAACGATGACTTGTTGCGCAAGTCAAGTGACGGGGCCATGGACCGCCTCAAGAGTCGCCAGAACTCTGACGACGGCCGCAGCGACGTGTCGTCGTCACATCGACGGCGCATGTCGAAGCTCTTCAAGGGACGCAAGAAGAGCAAAGGCTCCCTCAGCCAGGACGACGTCTCGCAATTCGACCCCAATGAGGTGGTCCCTCCCGTTCCTACAATTAGACGTCCGAGCATGGGTCACCCGTACCAGAGCGACGACTCGCTCGGCCTCGCAAAGAGCGTCGCAAGCAGTCTGCTCACCGACGACTCAGACACGGAATCGTAAGTTGCACGCTGTACTTTTTTTCTCCGCCCCTTATTCCTGTGTCTCAGGTACAGTTCCATTTGCAGCTGCGACGCGTCCATTGGAGTGGAAGGTTTGCCTCGTGGCATTGGCGCCGTTCAGCATGGACTCCACCGCGAACAAGCATACGTTCTGGCCTCAGCTTCCCCACTAGCACACCACACCTCGTGCATCATCGCATCCGTATTGCAATACGCACTCTTGGCCTTCGCTGTTCCATTTGTTTTTACTACCCACCTCACCCCTCTTTCCAGTCTTTTGTCGCATACGTACCCACTCGGCTCCTGCCTTCCGACTAACCGGCTGCAGCCCTCCACCACTCAAACGCCCTGGCATATCACCACATCAGTCGCATGCCGGCCTCTTGACGTTGTCGTCGCCCCTGATCGCTTCCGAGACCCTCGATTCTGCAGACTCCACCGATGTCACTCTCGTAAACTCCGAAACCTCCATCGAGGAGCCCACCACCCGGAATTCAAATAATACCAGCGACGTCGCTGTGAACAAGCGGGGCGTATCTCCTGTTGGCAAGCTCAAGGAAGCTTTTACTCCTAATCGCAGATCCACGTCTCCGGCTCCTAAGCCTGGTGCTAGCCCTGAGCCCGCAAGACCGAGCACGAGCGGAGGTGGACTAGGAGCGCTGTTTGGAGGGAAGAAGCGCGAGACAAGGGTGTTGGATGATCCGATTCAAGCCTCACCACCACAGATACAGATACACACAGAGGAGGAGACAAAGTCCACCCCGTCGTTGAGATCTGTCGCCCCAAAGCGCATCATCACCTCGCTCCCCGCGACTCCTCCCAATTTATCTGATGCCCCCACGACCTTCATAACTCCACCCACGCCGACAGACGGGAAGGCTTCTTCTCCGACAGAATTGAATAGCTCAAAAAACACTGTGAAACGCACCAATACTGAGACAAACCCCAACGTAGTCGTATCCCCCTCGGGGAATATGATATCGCACAGACGCGTACGATCAGCCACCAATCCTCCAAGTAAGCTATCGCATTCGTCAATACCGCCCCTCACCCCTCATCTCGAGGAAGCAAAAACCCCCGGAGGGACTGCTGTACTTCCATCATCTCCTGGCGGGCCTGGTGGATTCTTCGCTTCCATCTTTTCCGCAGCTCAGAACGCAGCGAACAACTTAGGCGATACCATCGCGAACAGCGCAAATCCGAAGAATAAACCCAGCCAGCAACAGCAGAAAGACGAGGACAATACTGCTGACGGCGGCGAAGAAGTTATTGGACCCGAGAACGTCGACACCAACACAAACGAAGGTACTGAGAAGCGCCGACCTGCCATTGAAACACTTGGATCTGGAAACTTGAGCTTAGCCCAACTTGGCATTGCTGAGAGCAACGAGGTCAGCCCCATGTCATCCGCGACCAACGTCACGATGAAGGCGGATGAAGCTTCGGCCAAGGTCGAGGATAGGGCCGCTGCACAAGCCGTGTCTGCCGCTTACGCAGGGGAAAAGCCTCCATCGATTGCTAGTGAGCGTCCACGATCGCTGACAGCTGTTTCTGGTCAGTCAGGAGCGGGTGCAGCGTCTCCTCCACGACAACCTGAAATAACAGACTCACCGGCATCCATCGGACGCCAAGGTAGCATACGCAGCCGTATAAGCGGTGGCAGACGGAGACGGCATAGAGGCAGCTCCGCTACAACCGGAAATACTTTAGGCGGGGTCATCACTGCGAGCACAAGTACATTGGCTCCAAGCGCAGCATTGAACAGCCACCGTCTAAACGGAACTGGATTCGCGGTTGCACCTCCTAGGCGAAATAAGGATTTCCATGCCTTGTTCAAAAGCGTTCCCGAGGACGATTATCTGATCGAGGATTATAGTGCAGCCCTTCAGAAAGAGATCCTGCTTCACGGACGTT